TTCTTTGGCAAGACTTGGAGAAGCACCACAAGGCCTCTGAAATCCGCCCCGGGGCAGCTCCCCTCCGTGGTCTTCAATGAGGTAAGGGCATGATAGCGAGTCGTGGCTCAGGTCGGCTGGGAATTCTGGGCGTTCCACAGGCGGAGGAGACGTCTCTCTTCAACAGACCAGCCTGACTTTGTCTGCAACAGTTGCATGAGTCCGATGGGTCTCCCCTCTCTCCCCAGACTTATGGGAGAGCTGCTAGAAGGAGGGGAGCTTTAGACCAGTGTTTCTCAACCTGGGCAACTTTCAGATGCGTGGACTATAAGTCCCAGAATTCCCAGGTTGGGAAACACTGAGCTAAAAGTTAGGCAAGGAGTTTACTTTGCCATCACTTTGACTGTCCAGTCACATGGCTACAGCTCGGCTGGCTGCCAGCACTGCTGATGCAAACGCTGCCAGTGGGACGCCTCTAACGACTATCTGGTGGGTGGCATTATCATCTCAGTGGAAGCGCATTCCCCTTGCTCTACTCATCGATTAATACCCCAGGGAGCATAATGTGCACTGCTTCCCTTCTCAGATTCTGGAATTAGAGTCACCAATTTTTTGCTGCCTCCCCCACCGTGTGAAACCAGGTGGATGTTGGGGTGGGTGAAATCCTACTGTTGTATTGCTGGAGCCCTTAAAACTTCTAAGCCAGCCTCTTTCATTATTAAGCCCAATTCTTCTACAGTGATCTGCTTTTTATTCATTTCCTTCTCCTGAATTGTTTTACCAATATGGGCGACAGGCATTCTCAGTCTAGAGTCTTCCTCTTTCTGCCCCTTAATTGCCTAATGAATATGCCTCCATTTTCCTGCTTTAGAGAGCTGTTAATCCAATTCCCACCTTTGTCTCCCATCTACTTGATGTTCAGCAACCCACTCACTTGAGGAAAAAGAGGAAAAGATGGTGGTTTCTGAGCCCTGGAGGTTAAGTGTCCGTATAGTTTTGCTTGCCGACCAACAGTTTATGGCTGCAAGGGCCCTCTTTCAGAGTATGAGATGCTGCCCTAGGCTTCATTCTCCGTTTCGTTCCTTAAAACCAGCACAGAGTCAGGTTTATGTGACCACAATGTCCTGGGCTCCATTATCCAGCCAGAGGGAGATGGCCAGGTTCATTCTGATCAGTCCTGGGATTTTCACGCTGAGTTCTTGTAAACCAATGTTGTCCTCCTCCCTTCTGGGTCTTCTGTACCCCGGTCTGCAGTCGCTTCTGTGGCTAACTCAGGTATGCTGGAATCTCTGCCCGCATCTTCCATGTTGGGCATATCCATTGCCCTACACAGAATCTGTAATTGTGCGTTATTTTAGGTGACCTAATTTCAACCAAGTCTTTGTGAGTGATTGTTTGGTCCTTGGCACACGACGGGATGGGTCGGGAGAGAGAAGGGATGGGGCATCCCTCAGGGAGGGGAGATCTCCCACCCAGCACTAAAATTAACTTCTTCCCTGCAGAATATCACCTCACCCCCTCAAAAATAAGAATGTTCTCCAGAATTGGGTTAGGGTTAGGGTTAGGGTTTCTCTGCACGATTCCTGATTGTTCTCCCAGTCCAGGTGGGGAGGATGGGCTCTCGTTCCCAGAACGGCTGCTCCAGCCAGCATGGCTAGCGGTGAAGGATGCTGGGGGTCAGCACGATGTACCTGATCTAGCAAGATGCACGGCTTCGTTCCTCATGTTGGGTTAGGCTGGCCAGGAGGCAGCAGAGGGCACCATTGCTCCAGGAATAACACCAAGGAAGCTGCCAAAAGCAGAGGCCATCATAAGCCAGCGGGTGGCTTGGCAGGCAAATGGTGGGGAGAGGGGGATCCTCTGCAGAAGTTTTATTCCGTGGCGTGGTGTGGCGTGCTAAACTTGTTCTCAGCCTGAGCAGCCTTGCACCTTCCCTTGTAGCGTTTTGGTTGAGTGTTTGTTGTGATTTACTTTTTCAAGAAAACAACAGGTCATTCTTAATACTTACAAAAGCCTCCTTCTGGCGAGCCCCCTGTAGAGGGGGCGCTCCCCGTCATTTCCCCCTCCAGTATTAAAAATGGGGATGGCGCAGGGAGGTCTGCGGGGCGTCGTCCCCAAAATTAGGATGGCCCGTAAAAAACACGGAGAGCTTGGATCGCCCCGTCGCAGCTGCCATCTTGACTTTTTTGACCATGCCCTGCAGACGCCCTGGGATGGCAGATGGATCAGGGCGCGGCCTGTCCAGCAAACTTTTGGTGCCTTTGGATGGCTCCTTTCGGTTAGGCTGGAGTCAAGTCGATTTACTTAGAGTCAAAAATGTGTTCAGGCTGCTTATCTTTGCAAAGCAGCCCTGAATACCATTAAGACACCCCTCATCGATTATTCATGTGTTTCAACTCAGCTGATAGATTAAATCAGCCTCATTAAGTGCTCTGTATAAAAGAGGAAGGTATTTCAAGTGCATTGATATTAATTAAATAAATTTACCAAACGCGGGGAAAAAAATGGATCGGCAAGAAATGAATAATAGATGAGGGCGCACATGCGCTGCATCTCAGAAGAGGCATCCGTTTTCTCCTTCTCCTACGGGTGGTTAAAGCCCCTTCTGAGATAAAGCGTGTTATTGTGCAGGTTCTATAATAGCTTGTATTTTTTTCCCCCAAGAAATAAACATAACTTTCTGCTGTCAAATAACAATTCCTGATCGTTGGTTTTCCATGTGGTGCCTTGTGTTTCAACCTTCTTCGCTTTAGTGATCGAATGGTGGCTGTCCAAGTGATGGGAAATGGGGTTCAGCAACATCTGGAAGGACAGGGGTTCCTTCCAATATCTGCAGGGCCTAATGAAGGGGGAAGTGCGGGAGAACAAGCCAACAGAGTGAGGAATGAAATGGAGGAAGCAAAGGGAATGAATGTTGGCAGGCCTCAAGTGGACTCAAGACCTTGAAATTCAATTTGTTTATGAATCACAAGCAATACACCCAGTAAATCTTCCCTGCTTCATTTGCATTTTTATGATGGAACATCCAGATGTTGCCGGTCACGTTCAAGTCATAAAGAATCAGCCTACAACAGTCTGTTGTACTGCTTGCTTTGTAGGGCAGATTCGTAGTACAGGTAGTCCTTGCTTAATAACTGTTCATTTAGTGACCATTTGAAGTGACGACAGTGCTAAAAAGTGACTCATGACCAGTCCTTGCACTTACAACTGTTGCAGTGCCCTCATGGTCACGTGATTGTGATCTGGGCACTTGGCAACCTGCCTGCATTTATGATAGTTGCAGTGTCCCATGGTCACATGAGCGCCATTTGTGGCTTTCCCACCTGGCTTCTGGCAAGCAAAATCAATGAGGAAACCACAGGTTTCACTCAACAACCACGTGATTCACTTAATGACTGTAGTGATTCACTTAACAACTGCAAAAAAGGTCATAAAATTGGGTCTGGTCATGTGATTATTTGCTTAACGACTGCATCGCTTAGCTACCTAAATTCTGATCCCAACTGTGGCTGTTAAGCGAGGACTACCTGTATCTGTAAGTACATGTTTTTAATCCAGGTCGGATTAGAGCTGGATTGCATTAGCTTCAGAAAATACGCAGGGGTTTTGTCTTTCTTTTTTTTTCTTTGCCACTGCAAAGATGGCGTATATATTCTCTGTAGTGGCTGATTCCTCTTTCCTTGGACCCACCATTGAACTACACAGCGGTCACCCAGTCTGTTCAGGAAGTGCTGTAAAGGAGAAGGAGCCTTGAACGGAAGCCTCACACCGTGTGAGCGTGTGAGACCTTGGCCATTTTGTACATTTCCAAAAGTAAGAGCAACCTCCCCGTGCCCCACTCCTAACTGAACCGGCTGAGAGGAAATTTCCCCCTTCCACTCCCGCCCTGCCCCTGGGGATGAATGAGCACCAATCAGATTTTGATCTTGCTTGTGTCCTCTTTTACCACGAATCTGCTGGAAATGACCAATCTGCCCTCAGTAATATTCAGAATTACTGAGAAGTTAAATTCTTTTACTTCTCTGACTATGGAAACTTTGAGCACTGGCAGCGTGGCCACCAGTTCAGCGCTCTGGTGATAATCTAGAAAACCAGCCCATCTAGCATTGGGCTCCATCAATCACCGGCATGCCAGAATGTCTGGGGAGAACATCTTGGGCAGGTCTGTTAAGAGTCCCCACTCCATCTGAAATGAGGATGACATGGATGGGACAATAGGTCTTTTTTGTGGTGGCCCCCCAACTTTGAAACTCTTTACCCCAGGTATCCATAAAGCTCACTCCTTCATGGTTTTTAGAAGATCTGTTCTAGTTCCTTCCGCCCGAACTAAGATTTACAGCCATTTATCTTGCTTGATTGTTGGTTGATTTATAGTCACTTTAAGAAAGAATAATTTAATATCTTACTGTCATGGCTTTTATAATTTTAATATGTTGTAACATGCCCCCCCCCGAATCTTTTATTTGCACAGGCTATAAAAACATTAAAAGAAAGAAATGAAATAAGAAGGGGGGGGTTCTAAAAACTTCTAGGTTGAGATTCTTGCTCTTCTGTCTTAGGAACCATCCTGATTCTCCCCTCTCCCCCGAAGACAGAAGCTGGTTTTGCCCCTATCAAGGAATTAGTGTTTTCATCTTGTTCCACCTGCCGTGCCTTGAATGTTTCCTCTGATTCTTCTTTTCCCCAATAACAACGGCTGTTTCTTGTGAATGCTTTAGGAAGTTGTTTATTATTGTCATGGAGAAGAACTGTCAAAATCCAGATAAACAGCTCCAAAGAGGACAGGAGAACATTGCCTCATCTATCATGAGTGGGGTTCCTGCATGGATAATTTC